CAAAGGAAAGCCAAATGTGGAGAGATAAGCTGTCCTGGAAGTGAAGTTCACACACCAAATGAATGTTTTCAGTAAAATTCCACACATTTGCTAGAGGCAGGCCAGGGGTTTGGTTCTAACACTGCAAGCTGCCAACAAACACAAAACAATCCAGTCAGGTACATGATGAGTTGGCATACTTTGGATAAAAACAAAAAGCTATCGAGAACTATCTCTCCCTTGGTCCGCATAAAAAGTCCTAATAACATCCTTGCTGCTGATTGGTCAGACTGCTTTGGAAGACCAATCCTCAGAACAACCCTCACTAGCCAGCACACAAATCAGTATTTGCAAATGATGGAAAGGAAGGCGATCAGGCCAAGGAGTCCAAGCAGACAGCTCCCTGCAGGTCTGGATTTATCAGAAACAGATTTCTTTGTATCTAGACTAACCTAAAATCCAGAGACTTCATACATCCACTTATCTTTAAAATTATAAACAAAACTTGATGCACCTGTCCCTTTTTCTGGGGGATATGTCTGTAGTTTCACAACATCCTCAGAGAGAAGCATGACTCCAGAAAAGTTAAGAACCACTCATCGGAAGAACTAGACTTTTTATTTCCTTCAGGCAACCCTTCATGAGCTGTTTCTCTCGGGAGCTCCTGAGAAGTGCTGAGTCTCAAGACTGTAGCCCCTGACAAGCATCTGTAGTACAGCTTCTCTCTGAGGAGAAGTGTGGAGCTCTAAGCTTAACCACTGGCCAAGCTGTTTGTCAAATGTATGACATAATAATATATGACCTTTAATACAGTAATGCCTATAAGCATATGGAATACATAACAATCTGTTCTTCTAGATGAGTGTTAGCTATGAACACTGACAAAGTTGCTTCAAAGAATTGGTGATATTTCTTCAGATAATATATAAAAATAAAACAAAACCCACTTTTGCCTATGGATAAAAATTATAGATAAGCACACAAAAATTTTCAAAAACATTATGTTCTAATTTTTAAAATAAACTTCCTACATCACTTGATACAACCTGAGCTATTTTTTGACCTCTTAGTTGTTTTAATCTTTGATATACAGCAAAACAATCACTGCCATAGCTTTAAACACACACATACACACACACACATATATACACACATGCAGTCAACCATCTACCCATAGTATTGATGTTTAGAATATCTCAAGGGCCCATGGATATCAAGCAAGGAAGCTGGCCTATAGGACCATCAAGACAAGGCTCTTTAAGATTTCATCCATCTAGAAATCGAGGCCATGCAGAGTCTAGTCCTTGACATAACAAAGCCAAAGATATCTTTGCCAAAAATACACAGTTGAATAGACTCAAGAGAACTAACTCATGCTTAGTTCAACTCATAAGAGCCTGAAGTACAAATAAGAATACCAATTTATTGCCGAAACCGGTTTGGCTCAGTGGTAGAGCGTCGGTCTGCGGACTGAAAGGTCCCAGGTTCGATTCTGGACAAGGGCATGTACATTGGTTGCGGGCACATCCCCGGTAGGGGGTGTGCAAGAGGCAGCTGGTCGATGTTTCTCTCTCATCGACATTTCTATCTCTCTATCCCTCTCTCCTCCTCTCTGTAAAAAATCAATAAAATATATTTTTAAAAATACCAATTTATTGCTGCTCTCCCATATTTATTCCCATATTTGGAATATTATTCCCATATTTGGAATAATAAATGTTCATATATGATTTTAAAAAAGAATACTAATTTAATAATTAATCATAGAGAATATTCTTTTTAACTAATATGACAATTTGTACCTGAAGCCAGGGTATTGCTATCCCAATATTAGGCTACTGGGAATCCTGATTTAATAGTCAGTTCACCAAAAGTTAGAATAAAGAGAAATAGAGTTTGGGAATTCCGAATAAATGATCCATATCCAACATACACATCTTTCTAGTGATCAACCCTGTAGATCACTTCCAATTAACTTCACATCTTGGCCTCTCTCCTTGGATGTTGTTGCCCTAAAACTGCAGACTTTTTGGTCTCTTAACTTTCTTCTTCTCTCCATTGGTATTCCTCTAGATAGTGTATGACACAATTATAAGAGTACAGTTTGAATGCACTATTATTCTTTTTCAAATTAAAACCTCCCAGATAAAGTGCCACTTGCCCAAGGTCACAGCTAGTATAAGGCAGAGCAGAGATTCAAAGCTAGATGTCAAGCCAAACCCCACACTTTCAACCTTGAAGTAAATGGTGTCTTTCCCAGGCCTCCCACCTCCCAGTCTGATTTATATGCCTCCCTCAGTGTTTTCCTATCACCCCATGTATACCACAGCTGAAATTTTTGGCATATACGTCTATTTCTGACACTACACTGAAACTTTTTGAGGAGGAGAATCATGTCTCATTCACCTTTGAATCCCTACTGTGTTATCTGCCTTCCTGGGTTAATATGCAAACTAATCTGTCCAGTGATTTCATACAAAAATCACCAAACTGAAGGCCTTGAACTAGGCATGTAGCCTTAGGAAGGTCACAACTTCTCCAGCCATCAACAAACATCTCATTTAAAAATGGGATAAAATGAACACATAATGTGACGTAGGTCCTTTCTGGATCTAAAAAGCACTATCATTCTAGATGGGCCCTGGTGGGTTTTTTAGATATAGCCTATTTTCTTAGAGTGAATTATTAGAAATAAAATTAGCCTCCTCAGTTTCCTTATGTAGCACTCTTCAGATAATATATATATAATAGAGAGTTCAGAAAAAGCTTTCTCTTCTCTGAAAGAAGATAACTATCATCTCTACCAAAACCAAACAGTAGCACCCTCCTCTGGTGAATGTTAAAGGAGACCAACAACACAAAAGGTAAGAATTAGATGGTGGGATTTTCTTTGAAAGAAAGAAAAAGCAAGAGAGAAATTACCTTAAAATGTGATGATACTGATTATTTTACAAAGAGCGGGATTTTTAATGTAAGGCAGAATAAAAAGCATTTCATAATTTTTCTAATAATAATCACTTCTCTACTATTTAAAAATTCAATGAAAAGCCCTATACATGTAAAATAGTTCTGGTTAAATAAAAGCATTTATCTAGTCCCCTTTCTGGGTGACACATTTACCAGAACACAGTACTGAAAATTTTTCAACCAATTTGGGTATGCAATTTTCAGGTATTAAAGTATCAACATAAAAAGAAAATTTAAAATAGCATTAACTTACACATGCAGAATATCAGACAAGCAAAAGCCAAAGTTTCACAACATTAACATTATATACAGACCTCTAAATTAAAAATAAAGCTGTACTTTCTAAGACCAGGAACAGATTATCATCTGCCAACAACTTAATTATAAAAAATGTTTAAGAAATATAAGCTTTATTAGGAGACCTATCACAGTCTGGAACACAAAGTGAAAATATAAACATTCTGACTCAAGGCAAGAAAACATCAGTTATCATATTGGCAACCATGCCATTCAGCTATGCTTTTAGTACCCAAGTATACAGTATCTCTTCCAATTAACTTCACATCTTCTCCCACCCCCCTGACCAAGGGGCAAGGAACCCACACTACACAGGAGGCTACGCATTTACAACCAATGAGAAATCTTCATTTTGAAAGGCAGGATAGAAAGAGCGAGGGTGAATGGGAAAGAGCAAAAAACTGATTTCCGCTCCACCAAATACATTTTCCAACTAAGTTTGCCATTCCTGGCAAACCTGGTTCTACAAGGCAGGCAGATACAGCATCGTGGACAGATTAGCAGAGTGGTAAGTGAAGTGGCTTAATATCAGAGATAGGATGCAGATACAATAACTAATTGAAAGCTTTCTCAACATTCACCCAAGACAAATGCCAAGGAACAAGCAAAAATTGAAAGAGAATGACATTCCCTACCGCCCACCCTGAGATCAGAAGGGCTAAGAAGAGAGTGGGGGAAAAGTTGGATGGGAGCATGAGGTTGTGAGGAGAGGGGGGAAATGATGAAGAACGGGTGGGAAGAAGGTAGGGAGGACATAAGGAAGAAAGTATGCTGCCAAAAAAAAAAGAGTATGCAACAATAAAACTGTTATAAACTGCCAAATCGAAAGAGATGGGGTGGCTGGCCCGGTGCTCTTTGGAGTCACATTTGCCACTCATTTCTACTGGGCCCGTGCCCAAGGACCAGAGCCAAGCCTCCCCGGACCTCCAGGAAATCTGAGCCCCAGCGCGCAATCAGGGTACCGCAGAAAAGAGGGCGAGGGACCTCAGCCGGCCTTCTAACCTCAACATGTGAACCCCAACTAAAGGATCCGAGAAGCTGGGAGCCGTCTGCGCCTCACTTGGACCAGGGCACAGGGATCGAGCGAGATCTGGCATCGCCACCTCTGCAAACGCCAGGGGCATCTCCGGTCCGGGCTGCAGAACCAGCTCAACACCGGCGGCCAGCGAGGCGCTGCTGTCAACTAGCCCGGCTGCATTTGCAAAGTTAATGGAGTTGGCAAGAAGCGCAGGGAAGTCCCTAGGGTTCCTCCTCAAGGCGAAAGCGCGATGGGAAGAAGTCGCAGCTTCCTTCATCCTCTCTGAGCTCTCACTGAGTCGGCCCTGTATTGAGTGTCTCTTTTTCCTAATGAGAATCAAAGATATTCTCTTCCTTCTGTGTGCATTCCTAGGTCTCCTTTCCTAGGACGGAGGCGCCGAGACCCCAGGCCAAAGTTCACCGCAGAAACCATGAACTCTCCCCGAAAAAACCAGCACAGTCATTGGCTGGGCTCTGGCCTTGAGAAACATCATAAATGATGAGAACACCATATAAGCTAAGGATGACCCTCCCTTTTCCAAAACGGACCCTCCATCCCAAGAAGTCTAAGTCCAAAAACGTTTTTGGCAACTTGGAACCAGTGGCTTGACAATCTGGCACCAGGTCTTCACCACATCCCTCGCACCCAAGTCCTCCTACCCCTTCCCCGCCCGCTCCAGCACACAACGTCCTGTTATTTGCACACACACACACACACACAGCCCCCAGAAAACTCTTACCTCGCCCCCGTGCCCGTCGAAGATCCCGAAGATGGATGGGTGCGTCTTGTTGGCCAGGTCCGTCAGCACTTCGAATCGGTCCTCCATGTGGTCCCTCCGGCCCTGGATGGAGTACACCGCCACGTTGTGACTCTTGAACTCCCAGGTCTTGGAAAACTCGGCCTCCAAGACGTCGAGCCCCCCGAGCCGGTCGTTCTGCATGATCTCGGCGACCTTGCCCTTGACCATCTTCACGGCGTCGCGGCTGGACTTGACGATGGTCTTCACCTCGTCCGTGTGGAAGAAGTAGCTCCACAGCGCCAGGCTGATGCACAGCAGGAAGAGCGTCTCAGGTCTCAGCAAGAAGTAGCGCATGATGCGACCCAGCAGAGACAGCAAAGTCATGGTATCCTCTATCATTTATTACCCGCTCGAGCCCGATCCACCCCAGCAGCAGCAGCAGCAGCAGCAGCAGCGACGCGCGCCCCGAAGGCTGGCGGGTCCCGGAGTGAGCTCTGCGGAGACGCTCCGCCGGGAGGGAGGCGGAGCAGCAGCCGATGGCGTGGGGAGGGGGGGGCGGGCGGGGAGGAGGACCGCGGAGCCAGGCAGGGGGCACCCTACTCCGACTGACCGGGCACCGCCAACAGAGGCAGTTTCCCTTTTGTCTCCCGGCCTCAGCGACCCGGCCGCCCGCGCCTAGCGCACGGACACCAGCGCTCGCCGCCCGCGCCGCCTCCCCTCCCTGCGCGCCTTTGTGAGGCGGCGGCGGCGGCCGAGACGACAGCAGCGACAGCAGCAGCAGCAGCAGCAGCAGCAGCAGCAGCAGCTGGTGCCCGAGCTGGGCGCAAGGAAATCAAGTGAAAGTTGCGCGGGGCAGGTCCGCCACGGTGGGCGAGAGAGTTCGGGGGGCGCAGGCGTCCGCGAGGCCACCGGCTCGGGTGCACCCTCTCCGCTCCGGGGCGCGATCAGCAGGTGAGGAGGCGCGGGGCGCTCTGAGAGCCCGGCGGGCGAGGGATGCAGGTCCCCTCTAGGGCCGGCGCTGCAGGGGAGCACAGAGCCGGCCGAGTGCTCCGAGTCCTTCAGACACCCAAGAGAATAAAAGTTTTGCGGGAGCCTGAGCAGAGGCGGGGGTACGGCGTTAGCCCAGAGACGAGCACCAACGGGCGCCGAGACGCAGGCAGCCGCCCGGCTCTGCCTGCCTCTCCCCAGCGCCTCCCGGCTCGGCTCGGCTCGGCTGCGATCGCGCGCCCCCCCCTCTCCCGACCTCCCTCCCCGCCTCCCGCTCGCCCCGCCCCTCGCCGCACGCGCGCGCCCGCCCCGCCCCTGGAGCGGGGACTGGGGGCCGCGAAGTGCTGGGTCCGAGCTGTCAAAGGTCTGAGGCAGCTCCGCGGCGGCTGGCGCGCCAGCAGCCCCGTGCGGTCCAGGCGAATCGGGGAGGGGGGAGCACAGGGGTGCGCCCGCTGCCCAGCTCCGTGGATGGCCGTTCCTCCCTTCTGCGCCGGCTCCCAGGACTATGCAATCCTGAGCCTGGTGGTCTGGACGTCGGGATCTCGGGAGCCCCGGCAGCCGGCTGGGAAGCGGAGAGCCGCACGTGAGCGTCCCCCCCTCCGACAGGCGGCACAATGGTGCGGTCCCCGCCTCGCCCGGCGTAAGGCGAGCGGGAAGGGACGCACTTCTCCGGGCTCGCAAAGCGAAGTGAAGCGAAGGGGCGCCAAGCTTGGGGTTGCGGTGACAGGCTTTACAGGATCCCCGAGAACAACAGGATGTGAGAGAACGATCCGTGAGCTTTAAAAGGAGAAAAAGGCTCCCGAGAACAGTAGGATGTGAAGAGTCGGAGCCACAAGGAAATGCACTCTGACGATGACACCTCGGGAGAGGTGAAGATGCGCTGGCCTCTCCGCGGGCGGCCGGCATCCCTAGAACAGAGACTCAGCCGGGAGGCCCCTATTTAATCACAACCTTTCCCGGGGATACACGGCGATCCCCTAACCCTGCCGCGGGGCAAGGGCTCTGACTGCTGTTTGGGTTTGAATTCAGGCCCCTGTGAGGCTCCTACCACTTCCTCAGTCTTCGCAGAAGCGGGGGAGTCTTTGAGCAGAAGTGAAACACCGCGGAGGAGAGGATGGGCTTCCAGACGCCATCCGGATAACTTGCTGAAACATGGGCAGGTGTCAGTGGCCTTGAAGATGTTGGGGAAAGAAGAGAAACTATGTACAAATCTGCTTAGGATACAGAAACGAGTGAGCGTGGAAAGAAACTATTCCCTCTCACTACCCCTGTCCAGGAAGAAGAGTGCTGATCTGCAGTTCCCGTCGCTGGATTGGACCGTGGAGGCCGCCCAAGCACTCCTGCCTCGGTATGAGCCCGAATACGTTTAAAAAGAAGAAGAAGAATTAGGAATAAAATACTGGAAGGAAATACACCAAAATGTTTGTGGAGGTTAACTACAGTAGTATATTATATGTGTTTGTTTTTTCATTTTCTGCTTTGGACTGTTGTCTTCTACAACTTTTTCAAAGTTTTTACGAAAGGCATATAGATTGCCATCATAACCAGAAAAAAATGAAAAACGTTGACATCTAAACAGCCTATATCATATGACCTCAATTACATAAACATGCATAGAAAAAACAGGATGGGAGTACGAAAAACTGTTAAGTGTCTAATTTTTGACAACTAAGATATGGACTCCTGTTCTGCTTTCTACTTTTTGGTATTTCGCTCCTGGTAAATAAACAGTTTAGAAATAAATTAGGTCATTCTGTCCCAAACTTATAAGTTAAGAGTTCAAATATGAGATATTGGGTTCAATAGCCTTTGGGAACTATAAAGCAAAGGTAATTCATTAATGTCATTATGAAGATGAGTTTACAATATTTCTTAGTGTAAGTTAGCAAATGGCTTTTGTACAGCCTCTCTGTACCTGAATCTGTTTCTCTACAACAAGAGCAATATACCAGATCAAGATACCAGAACTACAAGTCAAACTAGGCCCTAGAATAGAAATATAATTCCAAACCTACAGCTCCAACCAGCCTGTCCACAGCATTACTGTTTTGATGATAACAGCTGATACTAGTGAGAGGCATGATTTCTGTTTCCACAATACCTAAATAAAGATGAGAAAAGACCACACTGGTCTCTCTGGAGGTTAAATAGGAATAGGAGGGCTTGGCTTCACTAATAAATCTAAATGTTCTAATTAGTCTATGGATAGAGTCTTTGATATTTACATCTAATTATTCTATGGATAGAGTCTTTGATAGTTACATCTAAGTAATTACTTTGTGTGAAAATCAGTAGAATGATTTTTCAAGCAGACCCTATCAGCATTTTCTTATTTCTATTAAGAAATACATGTTATCTACTGGTACATAGTAATTTGTAGAGACCTAAATAAATTTTATATAGTATACTGTGAATTTTAATATATTTGATAAATAAACAAGACCTTACTCTAGTGACAAACTAACATTTGCATATTCCTTGAGATTATAAAGGTTTTTCATATATATATTTTCATTCTGATAACAAGCCTGTGATGAGGTTAGAGGAGCTATTATCTCTATTTATAAATATGAGGGCAGTAAGACACAAAGATGTTAAATAAATATCACAATTCAGCAAATAAGAAGTTGAGAATTCAAGCTCAGTTCTGACCACCAATTCAATACTTTAACTTCCATTGATTGCCTGCTGATACTGAGATGATTAGTCTAATTTTTATACTGCTCTAGTAACATTTTAGTAAACCTGTTACATAAATCTCAAAAAGAATACACAAGTTCTTATTCCACAAATACTTTAGTCTTTGAGACAAGCACTATGAATATTTGTGGGGCAGAAAACAAGTGCAAGTTAACTTTCCTTAATCTCTACATAAAAGCCTAAAATATTTGTTGCTAAAGTAAAATATCTGAATTTCACAGGGAAGAAAAGAGTATCATACAATGTACATTATGCAAATATTTTACCATTACAAGTGACATGATAATTGAGCTAATTGCAATCCTAGGTTTTCATGAGATACAAATAATAGTGATAGTTACCAGGTAATTACGATTTCAACTATGTAATTAACTCATGTCAGCTTTGCATGTATATGAAGAACATAAAAATTGCTTTTAAAAATAATAAATTCTCAGAAGAAACTTTCAGAATTGTAGCTTTGGGGTTTAAGAAATCTTTAGAACAGAGTTTGATTATAAATCTCTTTGAGTATGATATTGTTCCATAATGTCCTCATTCTTTTTTGACTTTGCCACTTATTACAAAGTTGTAAAAATCAAATGTAAAGTGACTTATCAGCAGAGCTTCTTAATGATGAATGTAAATAAAAATCCCTGAATTTTAAATAAGCCTCTTACACACAGAAATTCTTTGCACATTTTAAAACTTCCCATATTGATTTGTATTCTTAAATTGTCCTGACATCCTATATAATAAAAGGCTAATATGCAAATCAACCAAAAGGCAGAACAACTGGTCACTAAGAAGTGCACTAACCATCAGGGAGCAGATGCTCAATGCAGGAGCTGTACCCTACTGGTAAGTCAGTGTGCTACCACTGGGGAGCACTGCTCAGCTAGAAGCTAAGCACACAACTGGCGATCATAGCATCGGTGACAGGAGCCTCTTATGCCTCCGCTGCAACACTAACAATGTCCAAGTGATGGCCCACTCCCCTAAGATGGACATCCCCCAAGGGCTCCCAGACTGTGAGAGGGCTGAAGGACACACACACACACACACACACACACACATACACACACACTCACCAGTGCACTAGTTTCATGCACCAGGCCGATAGTCTGCTTATTAATATGCACTAGATATTGAGTATGACTCTTTTACTAATATTTTGTAGATAGACATCTTATGTGTGTATAACCTTTAAACTATACATACAAGTGAAATCAGTCAAAGAAAGACAAAAAAAATAAAATTTTCTTAGATTAAATGCTAAGATTAATTTTCACTTAAAGGGCATTTAAAACACAAGATTTATTATTATATTTTACATCTAGAAATGTTTTATGAGAAGCACTGCAGATTTAATATAGTTCAATAATCATGCTCATGATTAACCATTTAGCAAAAGGACAAATATTAATTTTAAGATAAAATTTATAGTAAGGGTCCCTTATAATAAGGAATTTTTATCATACTAGTGGCCCAGTGCACAAAATTTGTGCACAGAGAGGGGGTTCCCTCAACACAACCTGCACCTTCCCCAATCGAGGACCCCTTGGGGGATGTCTGACTGCCAGACATCATCCCTCTCGCAATCTGGGACCGCTGGTTCCTAACCACTCACCTGCCTGCCTGCCTGATTGCCCCTAACCTCTCTGCCTGCCTGCCTGATCATCCCTAACTGCCTCTGCCTACCTGCCTGATTACCCCTAACTTCCCTCCCGGCC